ATTGTGTTGTCCTTGGAACTCGGGCAACTAGAGGCACTTGACTGCAGAATCCAGAAATTTTTATACAATAATAATTTAACTGCAAAAGGTGTCACATCATCACGACTCTATGTAAGTGTAAAAGACATGGGACTTGGACTTAAAGGATGTCGGAATGAATGTGGAAAAGAATTGATGAGGGTCTTTCTTAAATACGAATGGGAAGGAGACTCGAATATTGCAAACATGATAAGATACACACAAGACAAGCCAGACAACATTGTCAAAAGAGCTCTAAAATGTCTAAACAAAATAATCAATCCAGATGAGCTGAATGAAATTGTCATCAAGGAAAGTGAGCAAGGAAGATCAATGAAAGTAGTGCTCGACTGGATTGATGAAAAAATAAACACACATTATCTTACAATGTGGAAGAATAAAAAACATCAGGAGTCTTACCAAGGATGTTGAAACACCAAATGTGCAACAAAGAAGCATCAACAAAAGCATGGAGGACACTCAATATTAAAAACAACGCTTTCATCCAAATAATAAACATGCAAGAAGGAGCAACTTACGTTGGAACAAGAAAAGCAATAATCACAAAAAATAAAAGGGATGAACAATGCTACTGCTGTAAAACAACAAAAGCAAACATTCCTCATATCCTATTATGCTGCCCCATGACAAAAAAAGCACAAATTGACAGACACAACCATGTATGCAACATTATTCATATGGCTTTGTTAAAAAAATTGAAACTTGTCAAAGATGAATTAAACTTAACCCACCCACCAAAGATGATAGAAGAAGCCGAGAAAAAAACACGGTGATGTCGGAGAAAAATATGTTATGTGATGATAGAGCGTCTTTTGCGCGCAAACCTGATATTTATTGGCAAGACAATTCAGCAAAGAAAGGTTATATTATTGATGTTACTATTGTAAAAGACCAGAATATCTCAACAGCTTATTTTAAGAAAGTTGCAAAATATTCAGTGTTATGTGAAAAATTGAGAAACGAAAGAAACTTAACAAATGTGATAACAATTCCTATCGTCATCACAATAAGCGGATGAATAAACAGACTCTCAACAGAAAGAATCGAAAAGGTGCTGAAACTAAAAATAGACTATAAAAACATGATAAGATATGTTGTAATAAACAGTATGAAGGAACTAATGAATTATATAAACCAAGGCCGTGCTTCTTTTGAACTGGAAGATTTAAAAGAACACAAAGAAAACTCTGACGATGTTTCGGAAGAGGGCAAAGAGATGGTTGATGAAGACGACTCCTCTTTGTCATGAAATCCCGAGAAATTCATTTCGAAAGGAAATACATAATTGAATTCTAAGTGTTTTGAATATAAACATAATGATATATTATTCTTTTCTTAATTTTAAGTTATTTCATTCTTATAATTATACTTTATAGTTTTTTTTGATTTTAAGAATGATGGTTATTTTTTTATTGTTTTTTATTAATTGTTTACTATATTATAGTTTATTTATACTATTAAGTAAAGTAAAAAAATAAAACAACAAAGATGTTTAAAAAGTTGATAACTTGTTATTGTCGATTGTGTTACTATTGACAATATGATACATATTACTTATATGTATCATAATAATATGTTATTGATATGAATGATGACGTGGAATATACTTATTTTACACAATTTTGCTTTTGAGTAATCTCTGTTTAAAGAAGGTAAAAAACAAAGTGTGCCAATTTTTAGAGCCTTTTTTACTTATCACACGATGCAATTTTGATAATATCAAATTTGTGAATCTATTTAAATGAAATCTTTTTAATTATTTTTATTGTAGAAAAAAAATAAACTAACAAAATGTAACAACAAAATCATTTGATTAACATTTATTAATTGATATATTTGATGGGAAACATTGATAACCAATTGATTTGATATTTGAAGATATAGTAACACTGCTCAGACTGCTGCATTCATAGAAACACCAATCGCCTATTAATGTTACACTCGATGGTATTGTAATACTAGTCAGACTAATACATTGAAAGAAACAATCATTACCAATTGATATTATACCTTGTGGTATGTTGGCACTGCTCAGATTACCGCATTTATAGTAACATTGAGTACCAATTTATATCACACTTGATGGTATGTTAAGACTTCTTAAACTGCTGCATTCATAAAAACATTGAAGACCAATAAATTTCACACACGATGGTATGTTATTACCAAATTTCTTTCTATCACTTATAGTGTAAATAACATTTTTAAACTCGATGTTTCGTTGTTTGTTTCTGTCAACAGTTCCAAATTCAACATTGAACCACACAATAATTCTATAGAATTTTTTCTCAAAAACAGGGATATCTTCACAATCTTCATTTTCTTTAATGTTGACAAAAATATCATTGCCAAAATTCTCACTATTCACATTCCACAAGTGAAGTGTCTCGATATTTGAAAAGTATCCAAGTGTTTTGCAATTCAATGGAATTGGGTTGAAGTGGAACTTTTCCATATTACCACGAAACTTCTTGCATACCAACTCCAAGTTAATAAAGTCGTTGATAGTGACGAAGTACTTTGAGACTATCATCACATGATAACCAGAAAGTTCAGACATTTTGATATTTACAGTTTTTCGGTGTTTATATATTTCCAAATTCGTTATTGTAAACATTTTTTAAAAAATGTGTGATTAATAGTCATTTATCATTGATAGTTATATAATATTTTAAATTAAGTATATTAATAAATCAAAATACATTATTTAAATGTTTAAAAAATTTTACAAAATTTTATCACATTATTATTAATTGCATGGTTATTTTAAAATTAATAAATATGGTGTAACTATTATTTTTAAATAAAAATATTATTTAAATTACAGTCA